TTCTGTCTCTCTCTCTCTCTCTCTTTCTGAGGGCTCCCCGTGGATCCTGCAGCGGCCCTGCGAATTGTTAGCGCCCGTGCAAAAAGGTAACACGGATGTCGAGACGCTGGCGCGCTGGCTCGGCTTCGCCAGGCTCTTGCCCGACTGAACGAGAGGAACTGCCACCGCGCTTGCCTGTGCGCCCATCTATTCTCTTATCCGTGAAAGAGCCTGCTTACGTTATTCTGGGGCGACAGGTGGCGTCGAAGAGGGGGGGTCAAGGGTGCTGGTGACGTCACATTTCGCGCCTGCGGTGTCTGGGAATGCATCGGAATGACAGGGGACTGGTCGGAGCAGCGTTTTGGTGGCGATCTGCGCCACAGCGCGTATGTGAACCGCAATGCTTGCGTGCACCACTGCGCTCAGCAGCCGCGTGCCACACAGCTCCAGTGTGCACCACAGTGCCTGCGCACACAACAGCGCACCGCAGCACTGTGTACGCCACAGTGCTCGCGTGCACCGCAGCAGCCGTGTGCAACACAGCACCAGTGTACACCACAGGGCCTGCGTGCACGACAGCGCCTGTGTACACCACTGCGCTGGTGTGCACCACGGCAACCGCGTGCAACAACACACCATTGTTAAATATACGCTTGTAGAAGGAGTCATTTTGACAAAATGGAGCGCCTGTGGATTCCATAGAAAACACTTGGATCCGGCTTGTGTTCGGGATTCGGTTTTCTGCTATGCATGGGTCCAAGGGGCCAGGCGGACAGCGACGACGACGACGACGACGACGAGGGCGACGAGGACGAGGGGGAGGAGGAAGCAAACGACGACGAGGGGGTAGAGGGCCAGCACCCCCATCCGTCCTATCGGCCCAGGCCACGAGCAAGGGGAGAAGGAAGAAACGCATCGGAGTCACATTGGAACCATATTGACACAACTACGGTTCAAAGAAGGGTCATCTTGGGACAACCTCTCAGTCGTCTCGGACTCATGGGGTTGTTCTGGGGCCACTTCGGAATAAATGCGGGGTCGCGCGGTAGCCTTGTCGGAAGACAAGTGGTTCGTCTCGGGGTTCTCTTGGGGCCGCAGGGTTGTTCCGGGGTCAGATTGGGGCCACGGCTTAGCAGGGGTGGGCATTTTAGGGGCGACAGAGGCAAACTTGTGATCATTAAAGAACCATTTGGGGTCCATCATGGAATCATTTTTCAGTTGCTGCATCTCTCGTTGTTGCTGCTACAGGTTTTGCTGTTGCTGCTGGCTTTGATGCTGCTGGTGCTGCCTGGGCTGCCCGTGGTGCTGGTGCTGGTGTTGTGTGAAAGTTCTGGCCCTCTTGGAGCTATTTTGGGGCCATCGCGGGGCCCCCCTGGGCGAGGAGGGCAGAACACCGCCTTCTATTCTCAGCACTCCCCTTGCGTGGTGTTTAGCGGTCCGCAGCAGATCCTCACTTACATAATCCTCCTATTTGTCCTGTGCACGCAAGCGCTGTGGTGTACACTGGCGCTGTGTTGCACGCGGGTTCTGTGGTGTACACAGGCGCTGTGGGGTGAATAGGCGCTGCCGCTGCGCGCGAGCATTGTGGTGTACACAGGCGCTGTGTTGCAGACGGCTGCTGCGGTGCTCACATTCACTGTGGTGTGCACAGGCGCTTTGTTGCACGCAAGCACTGCGGTCTGCACAGGCGCTGAGTTGCACACGGCTGTTGCGGTGTACATAGGCACTGTGGTGTACACGCGCGCTGTGGTGCATGCGAGCGATGTGTACACAGGCGCTGTGGTGCAGATCGCCACCTACATGCTGCTCGTACTTGGCCTCGGTCACCTCGGAACTTGACGTCACCTGGGGGGAGGGGGGGCGCGGGGCTGGTGACGGCCGTTATAGCGGAACATAAAAATAACAGGCTCTCAAGCCCAGGCAGGAGCGAACTATTATGCCCGCGCTGAGCGGTGCGGGGTTGATGCCGAAAACTGGGCTAAAAGCCTCAGCCTAGGATCGCTCTTTATCCTTTCCAGGCAATTCCTGCACGGGGCAGCATAATTTTTCAAATGTTATTTGATCGTGGGTGGGCCCAGTGATGTTGTTGCCATGATTTGCGCGTGTATTTGGTGCGTTCCTGGCTATTGTTGGTCGTGCCTCCATCTGGCCTGAAAGCGGGAGCTAGGGATTGATCTCGTGGAACGGGCCTTGATGCTACACAGCGCTCAACTCAGCAAGACAACATAGAAAACTCGTCCCGAGGTCTGGAATGTGTCCTTGTGAAATCGAGCCCAGGGAGGCTGCTTCGGCCAGGATCAGCGACGAGTTCGATTGAGTGCTGCTCCGTTCCATTCGAATCTCTCCCATAGTCCCATAGTGGTCAGCTGCATGCCTTCTGCGCGTGGCTAGGGGTGACGCACTTGTTTGCCGCTGGCCGGGATCGGCCAACGCTGCCGAGGTGACGTACTCCTACGACCCGCTGGCACAGTCGCGGCCGTTCCGCACCAGCCCGCCAGTGCTCGCAAGGCGGAACGCCATGGTGCCTGGGAGGGGTGCGGGGAGCGTGTCATGGGGCGGCAGTTGGGTCGCGGGGAAGACGAGTAGGAAGAAGAGTACGGTGGCCAGTGCAAACCCAAGACGCATCAGCCATGTTGCAGTAACCCCTCCAACAAGTTTCTTTTTCGTAGGTCCCTACAAGAATTTATGTTCATTGCTGAAGGTCCCCTATTGGATGATAACCGTTCGACAATCTGCAATCGCGCCACAAAACAATTCCACGGACTTCAGCGCCGCGAGTCACGACGATTGTTGCGTTCTGACAATAGAAATCGTGCCAGAACACCATTCCTGGGACCTCAGCGCAGCGAAGCAACGTAATTGTTGCGTCTTGACATTTCTAAATCGTGCCAGTCCACCATCCCTGTGACTTCAACAATGCTAACCCTTGAAAGCGCTGCAAATGGTCTAGACGAATGTGCGCGTCGCCAAGGCGAGAGCCATATTTTGAAAAGAGCCCGCCCTCCATCTTTGAAGATGTTGGTTGCAATTTCTCGGGACGAATGTGCGCGGCGCTATGCCGAGTGCCACATTTTAACAATTACCCTTCCTTCATCCTTGATTCCGTTCAAAGTGCTCAGACAAAGCATAATGGCGAAAACCACGTTTCGGAAACTAACCGGTTATATTTGTGAAGCCGTTGCGAACTTCGAAGGCGAACGTGCGCGGCGAGAGTCATACTGTGGAAAGGGCCTGCCTTCATTTTTTGATTCGGCTGCATATCTTTAAGACGAGTGGTCGCGGCGCTAGGGCGAGAGCCACATTTTGAAAACCACCCGCACTCCTTGCGTGAAGCTATGGTGTAAGTTTCAAGTTTCAGGATCAGAGATGGCGAGGAAGTCTCAGGCGAAACGCCTGGCCCGCCCTACCGACATGTCTGGGTATGCGACAGGCTACGTCTGTGGGTGCGACAATGGACACGGATAGAGGGTGAAGAAGAGAAGGAGGAACAATGAGTCAGGAAAACAAAGTAATGATGAACAGGAGGAGGAGGAGGAAAAAGAAGAGGAGGAGGAGGATGAGGAGGAGGAGGAGGAGGAGGAGGAGTAGGAGGAGGAATAACATGAGGAGGGTAAAGAAAAGGAGGAGGAAGACGAGGAGGAGAAGGAGGAGGAAGAAGGAGAGAATGTTAAGTCAGAGGGTGTTGTTGGTGGCCTTTCGGGCCGTCTTGGGTCGGTCTTGGAGGCCTCTTGGGCCGTCTGGGACCAGTGGAGGCCCGAAAAGGCGAGAACGCGAACCTTTCTCTACATGCCACTTAGTTTTTGTTGCCTCTCGGGCCCAGTCGGGGGGCTTCTTGGAGCCCTCTCGGGGCGTCTTGGTGCACTCGTTGGGCCGTCTCGTGGCGATCTTGGGAGCCTCGGAACGCTCTTGGGCCGTCTCGGGGCCCTCTGAGGGCCGTCGTGGGAGCCTCTTGGGGCCTTCTTGGCCCTTGCTGGGGCCTCGTGGCCTCAAGGCCCACGAGGCCCAAGAGCGCCCGTGAGGGCTCCAGGAGCGCGCGGGAGCTCTGGGAACAGGCTGTGGGTCCCCCCTGATGGGTTTCTAGAAGCGGCGTCACTCCAACATACTAATGCTATGTGATGTGTGCGTCGCCCTCCCAGGGGCGACGCGCGCGCCGAAAAGTCTTGCAGTAGAAGCTCCGTGCTGGGCGCTTTCTGGCCGTACCGCTCGGGAAACGATCTAGTACGACATGGTCATACTATATCATCGGGTCGGCCGCATGCCTCCGAGGAGGATGCATCGTCTTAATATGTCCCTGTGCGTCCCATACAACACTCGCTGCAGAGGACTCGGGGCACGGTGGCGGATCCGCCACCGTGCTGCGAGACACGAGTTGGCTTTGAAGGATTCGGGCCTTCTCGCTTTTACGACGGCCCAAGACGGCCCAAGACTGCGGGCAAGATCCGTATCCACATCCTGTGCGTCTTGGACTTGCCTGGAAGGGGCGCCACGAGGCCGAGGCGCACTGGACATGGATGAAGTCGAGCTCTGGGGGGCACATTGGATATGGACAGAAGTATTGCCCAGAGGAGGAGGAGGAGGAGGAGGAGGAGGAGGAGGAGGAGGAGGAGGAGGAGGAGGAGGAGGGGAAGAGGAGGAGGAGGAGGAGGAGGAGGAGGAGGAGGAGGAGGGAGGAGGAGGGAGGAGGAGGAGGAGGAGGAGAGGAGGAGGAGGAGGAGGAGGAGGAGGAGGAGGAGGAGGAGGAGGAGGAGGAGGAGGAGGAGCCGAGAGGCCCTCACCTCGTCCACGCATCGCCGCCTGTGGGCAGCCCGGCCCTCCGTGTGAAGTTGGCCCTGCCGTCGCTGCCGCGCCCTCGGCTCTCCAGCGATGCCGCCGGCCCTCCCTCTCACCACCCACCAAAACACCCCAACCCAACCCGAAGGCTCAGATTTCCCGATTTCCCCTCGATTTCCAGTGGGGGGGGGGTCGGGAAACATCGAACAAAACCCATATGGAACCTTTACCCCCCCCGACCCGAAATTCGGGTCTTCGGGTTGGGTTGGGGTGGTCTGGTAGGTAGTCACCCTCCAGGTCGCGCCCGTCGGCCCGCCGCCTGGCGGCAGGACGGACACGTGGCAGTCCCCTGAGATCTGGGCGTCGCGCACTTTCACACCAGCTGAGCTCGGTGTGTTTCGGGCCCTGCAGGACCCTCACGTATCGCTCCGGCTCGAGAGATGCCGCAGGAAGATGGGGTCTGGGGCTCTGGTCGTGATCCTTTAAGATGCTTCAGAATTCTCGCGACGTCGGCTCTCAGGGTCGTCGGTCCCTTCCCCTCCAGAGACTTGCGGAGGTGTCTGGAGATAGCGCGGAGGCCTCTGGAGGCTCCCGGAGGCCCCTCGGAGGCCCAGAAAGGGTCGAGAACGTCCAGCAATCTTCATGCTCATCATCATGTTTCAACGTCCCTTTGTGTTTTTTTGTTCATCGCGGGGTTTTCCTCCGTTATTGGGCCCAGGGAGGGGGTCGCGAGCTCTGGGGCCGCAGATTGACTTGAAAAATCAGATCGGATGATGGGGCCTCCTCCCTTCTTCTCAGACTCCGCTTCGTGGACAAGCCATCTGGCGAGCGGTGCGCCAGGCACCTCCGTGCCCAGCTCCAAATTTGGCGGGAGTTGGAGCAGTGCTATGTGGTACTGCGGCCACCCTTCTCGTGTGTTTCTCCTCTGGTGCCCGTCTGGCAAGGCTTGGCCACGCGCAGAGGGGTGTAGGGGGGGGGGGGAAGGCTTGCGAGAAGCACCCTGCTTCTAAGAAGCCTTCCCTCTCCCCCCCCGTGTGCGCGCCGCCGAACAGCTTTCAACTGCACGCAAGCCTTCCGCCGAGCCCCACACGAGAGAGCACTGGAGGCCACTCGGCGCGGGGCTCCATCCTTTCGGCAGGCCTCTCGGTCGGTGCCGCCGACCCACCCAGACCAACTCGCGTCGGACAAAACATCGCGACGGGAAGGTTTTCGCTGGATTCGGCCTCCAGGGGCCCTTGCCGGGCCTCGGGGCCGTCAAAAAACGACTCGGGATGAAACACCGGTCCTGGGGAAGGGTTTCTCTGGGGGTCGACGTTGCGAGCAAAAACGCGACGTACGACGGCGGCGGCGGCGGCGGCGGCGACGACGACGACGCTGACGCTCTGGAGCCCTCTTGAGGCTCTCTTGGGACTCCCCTCTGTTGGGGCTGGGGCTGGGGCCGGGGCCAGGGCCAGGGCCGGGGCTGGGGCCAGGGCCGAGGCCAGGGCCAGGGCCGAGGCTAGGGCCGGGGCCGGGGCCAGGGCCGAGGCTAGGGCCGGGGCCGGGGCCGGGGCCAGGGCCGTGGGCCGGTGCTGGAGGGGCTGGGGCCTGGGCCTGGGCTGGGGCCAGGACCTGGGCTGGGGCTGGGCCCGGGGACCTGGGCCAGGGCCAGGGCCGGGGCTGGAGCTGGGGCCGACGCGGGGCCGGAGACCATGTTCTCAAAAACGTCGTTTTCCGTTTTCAAGATTGAGTTTCTTTCGTTTTTGGGGCCGTTTTTCTTTGTTTTGGGATTGCCGTCTCGACGTTTTCGGTTTGTTTTGCGATCCGTTTTCGAACTGTTCTACATGCTTTTTCATGCTTTCCATTTATGTCAACAGTTTTCTGTTTTGGATTGTTGTTTTTTGTCTGTTTTGGGTTGCCGTTTTTCCCTCGTTTCGGGCCCAGCCAGTGTCGTGTTTGTTTTGTTGTTGGGTTGCCGTTGAAAAGGTCCCACCCCCCTGTCTCCCTCGGGCGTTGCTAGAAGTGCCCCCCTGGCCCTGGCCCAAGGTGCCCCCAGCTTTTCGCTCCAGTTTGGAGCCCCTGTGTCCCTCTGGGCCTCGTGAGGGGTGCTCTGGGGGCCGTGGGGGCTTCCTCGGAAGTCCTGGGGGCACCTTGGGCCAGTGGCAATACCCCACCACTTTTTCCACAGTGGGAGGGGGAGAGGAGGAGGAGGAGGAGGAGGAGGAGGAGGAGGAGGAGGAGGAGGAGGAGGAGGAGGAGGAGGAGGAGGAGGAGGAGGAGAGGAGGAGGAGGAGGAGGAGGAGGAGGAGGAGGAGGAGGAGGAGGAGGAGGAGGAGGAGGGGAGGAGGAGGGGGAGGAGGAGGAGGAGGAGGAGGAGGAGGAGGAGGAGGAGGAGGAGGAGGAGGAGGAGGAGGAGGAGGGAGGAGGAGGAGGGAGGAGGGAGGAGGGGAGGAGGAGGAGGGAGGAGGGAGGAGGGAGGAGGAGGAGGAGGGGAGGAGGAGGAGGAGGAGGAGGAGGAGGAGGAGGAGGAGGAGGAGGAGGAGGAGGAGAGGAGGAGGAGGAGGAGGAGGAGGAGGAGGAGGAGGAGGAGGAGGAGGAGGAGGAGGAGGAGGAGGAGGAGGAGGAGGGAGGAGGAGGAGGAGGAGGAGGAGGAGGAGGAGGAGGAGGAGGAGGAGGAGGAGGAGGAGGAGGAGGAGGAGGAGGAGAGGAGGGGCCTTGGGCCCCTTGGGCCCGTTGGGCCCCCTTGGGCCCCCCTTGGGCCCCCTTGGGCCC